CAATACCCAAGAAGAAGAGTTGACAGACAAATTTACGTCAATGAAATACGTACCCTTTTCAGAACCTTTCTGCTTCAGGTAAACCTTGCAGTTGCGGCGCCAATGTCCTTTCTTTCCACAGTGATGGCAAGCATCATCAACTTGCTTGCCAACCTTTGCTTTGGGGCCCCCACTACCTTCACCCACTTCGAACTTGCTGTTTGGGAAGGGAACTCTTTCCTTTCTCTTCTTTTGGAAAGAACTCTTCTTTCCAGAAGTATCAGCAATGAGAACAGACTTCTCTTTCTTAATGGTGGACTCGAAGCTGACCAACATGTTCATTAACTCATCCAAGGGAGGATCTAGTTTGTTCATGTTGAAGTTCACTATGAACGATTCATAGGAACTAGGGAGAGATAACAGGATCAAATCCAACGAGAGCTCGGCTGGGAGGGTGACATCAAGATTCACTAGCTTTTCAAGGAGAGTGATCATTTTGAGACAGTGCTCGTGGACCGAAGTCCCTTCGCGCAGTCTTGCCGTGATCAACTCCTTTGTAGCAGCGTACCTCGATGCCCTAATATTCTCACTATACATGCTATCGAGATGGGCCTTTATGTCGAAAGCATGCATGTGAGACTCATATTTCCTCGCAATTGCGGGCTCCATGGCGGCTATCATATAGCACCTAGCATGAGTGTCATCTTTCTTCCAAACTTCATAAGTTTCCTTCTCAGCATCAGTCGCTGTGGCAGGTATAGTGGCGGGAAGTCTCTCGTTCAAAACATAGAGACGCCCCTCAACGGTTAGTACAAGCTTAAGACTACGCAACCAATCTAGGTAATTAGGGCCATTGAGTTTATTGTCGAGGATTGACATTATGGGATTCTTAGACATGATTATCTGAGACATATAGAGAAGAGGATTATTAGAGATTCGCGTTTAAATGATTGTTACAATTAAATGTTTGGACTTATGTTATTTAATTGTTCTCCCACTAATTTTATCGAGTTCCACTTCCCTCTAGTAGACAAACGAGAAAACTGATTTTTCTTAATGGGCTTTAGGTCCAATAGACAAATATAACCCGTAGTTAATCTAGCCCGATTATATTTGCCCAAAGGTAGATCACAATCAATCATATCCACAATATGACCCTAAATTAATTTTCCTCACACTTGATAATGACCTAAGTTAATCTCGCGAATATCAAAATCGTCATGTGTCAAGTCTAACCTACCAATCAAAGATGCTCATAGAACTTGATTATGCCAAACTAATGCAGTCCCTAGTTAATCTAGCCGACCACGTTAATTCAACATAACCCTTTTTTATGGCTACCTTCATCGCTATGTCAATTGAATTACAGCTTACTCTACCATAGCACTCCCCGCTAACACGGCTTACTGCACTATAGTAAAGGGCTACACATAATCCAACCGTTGGCAGAAGGAAAGAAATAACTCAACAGATTGGGTTTTTCTTTATAGCTTGAAATGATTCTTAATTAAATTAAGAATGAGGGATTTTTATTAAAATGTTTTATCTCATCAGAAGGTTTGGATTGGTCTATGTGATTCCTACATCTATGTTCTCTAAAGGTATATGGAAGCGCATATTGTCCTAAGAGGAACATACGACCTAATTTCATAATTAATTACATTAATTAATTATCAAGTTTTTCAAAATAATTATAGAACCTCAACTAGCATAAATCATTCAAATAATGTTGAGGTACTACTAATTAAGTTGAATCATAATCAAAATTATGAATGTATTCTATTAATTGAAATCAATTTAACAATTTAAATTAATTAATTAATCTAACACCTATTTACTAAAATAGATGATTGTCGATCCAATTATCTAATTGGGATTAATTGAAAATAATTTTCCAAAAATTAAAATCAATTTTTTTTAAGTTTAATTTTAGAAATCTGAAATAAATTTTTTTTTTTTTTATTTTCAGTGAACCGGTTCGGCCCAACCGGTCTGACCGGTTCGGACCGAAGCGGTCCGGTTCTGCCTAGTCCGGTTGACCCAAATCAGTGGGTCGGATCAGTCGGACCGAGAACCGGTCTGACCGACCCGAATCCACGTGGATTCGGTCAACTAGATCGCACACAACCATCGAACCGGTTGGTTCGACCGGTTCGATCCGAACAATTGAAAAACCGAAGTTTTAAAATAATTTCAGATCCGATTTTCCAATTTTAAAACAATTTTAAAGCTGGAAAAATTCTAAACAATATTTCAAAAATATTTTAAACTTACGAAAACTCCCAATTACATAATACAACAATCACTACTTTAATAAATCGAACATGCATAAAATCATAGCATATTAAAACGAACGCAATTAATTGCGCAACGAGCTCTGATACCACTGTTGGGTTTTGGGCACGTGTACGCAGCGGAAAACAAAAATTTTATGCGAATTAAACGAATTTAAAGCACATAAACACATGTCCGATAATATAAATCAATTAATTGCATACCTTTGCGCTTCCAGCGAAATTAAAAACAACATACATGCTAAAATGTTTAACTGAATTTAAACCAATTAACATGCTCGCGTTTAAACAAACTAACATGCTCGCAACGATTAAAACGATTACACATAATCACATAAAATCATTCGAAAGCAAACATGAATATTTAGTTTAAACGTAAACGAATCGAAACATGAGATTCGTGTGTTTACCTCTTGAAGCGTGAGGTAGGAGCGCTAAGCAAGTCGAGATTGCTACGGAAACCAATCCGTACAATCCGGGGCAGCAGCGGTGCAGCGGCAGCAGCGGCGAGACGGCCACGGCGGCGCGTGTATCTCACGCGCGGTCTTCGGGTGGCGCGTGGGATCGCATGCGGCTTCGGCTCGTGTGTTGCTCCTTGGTTCTTCGATCTTCGATCTTCCTCCTCTCGGATTTCACCTCGTACACTTCGATCTACTAAACACGTGGCACTAGACATGTAATAGTTAGAAAAACGGAAGAAAAAGAAAAGGAAAGAAACTACCAAAGCAATCGGCCAATGAACGGCCGATTCCGGCGAGGTTCCGGCGACGGCGCCGGTGATGGCCGCGGGAGAGAGGCCGAGAGAGAGAGAGGTGAGCGGATAGGGTTTTGATTAGGTCTTGTGTGTATTTGCAAGGCCTATAAATCAAGTATTTATAGTCCCTTGCATAAAACCCTAACGGGCTTAAGTTGGACCGGGCCCAACAGCTTAAGCTCGTTAGTTCCTTTTACTTGCTCGTCTCTCTCAATTCAATGATCGGAAAAATGCAACGATTACAATTTCGGAATCATTATAATATCCTCGTCATTACGAGTGCCAACTCTCAATTTCCAACTTTCCAAAAGTGGAAACCCTAGTTCAGTGCACTTTCTAAATTTGGAAACTTCCCGATTTAGAAAGTTCACTAATACGTTCGCCTATTCGTTTCCTTTTCTTATTCTCATTCATAATTCCAAATTACAAATGTTGGATCCAATCATATTGACTTCCAATCATGCAAAGATAAACTATTTTATCTCTGACCGTTTATTCAAAGATCTTATGTGCACGAGCAGTGTGACCCTCGATGGTTCAGGTGTAAGCTAGCCGTGGGCCCACAACCCTTTGTGGTCAAAACTCGTCCCTTAGAGTTACGATTAAGATGAAGATCGTTTCACCTTAATCACCCAACGAATCAAGATTGGCGTCTAGCAACTACGCGTCATGATTCCCTAGATACAAATGAAGTGCCTGCAAGAACCTTCAGATATAGTTAACGTACAGTACGGTCCCTTCGATACATATGTCCCGATCGAACTAGAGGCATTGGTTCATCGAGACCTCTTTGTATGTTCGATGACGGTGCGATCGTTCCAAGTGTTGTAATCGTCACGTGCATGACTTAGATAATCGAATTCTCTAATCATCACTTAGTCAGCTCTGGCCAGAGACTTAGAATGATTACAAACTTTCAGAACACACAGGACATCCAAGACTATTCTAGCGATCGAATCCCCGACTACAATGCACAGACCTCCCACTAGATTTCGGACTGCACGAACACTGGCCCTTGGGATGGTCCTCGGTGGAACTCAGGGACAGGTCACGATACAGCTGGTCCTCTAGTGAAGTCACGGTGATGTCTAGGTCATAAGGACTAATGGTGTACAACTATACCATAGATATCTCTACTCGATTATTGGGAACCACTTAGAGATTTCTAGGGTGAGGGAGTTCAGTGAACTCGTCAACTTACGAGCACCCACTTATGCATGCCGATATCACAATACCGTTTACTGATGAGATGCAGTACACATACACTAAGTGCTAGTCTTAATGGGAAAGGCCGATATCCTCATTAGTGGCGTAACCCTTCGACTAGGAACACGTTTAACAGTTATAATACTTAAGTAAATATCTCACGATCCTAACGATCAATTACTAGTACTTGTAATAACTGTAAGGACTATATCTATGCTTGTGACAAAGGGACAAAGATATAGAATGCCAAGGCGTTTTATCATTAATACGAATAAATGTTCGTTTATTACAATAATAAATACGAAAAACCACAGCCACATGTTGGCTTGTTGGTCACCTACTCTAACAGAAAGAAGAAGAAGAATGCTTCCTTGAAGCATTATCACAAGTTCAGCAACCAAATCAGCAACAAAATCAGCAAGGGAGTCTTCATTCTCATCAGCGAGGGAGTATTTATCAGCATGCTCCGAAATGATGATGTCACCGACGAAAAACAAGACAATACTGAATCATTTAATCTTTTTTAGCGAACAATCAGTTTTAAAGCTATGTTAGTACTCTGACTACATGTATAAATAAATGCAACGAGTGATTAATTAGTTTTCGAATGTTAGTTGACTAGTGAACGAGTTCTTTGTCGCCTGTCGGTATTAGCATGCTCAATCAAAACAATATCAACATTTATACACACTTAAAGTAAAATAAATAAATATGTCAAATACCGGATGTTCTTCTTACTAGTTATTAGGATCCTGATTTATCTGTAGCTGGTTTCTTCTTACATTGCTTCGGCCTTCAATCACTATGAATCACGTCTCTCTTCATCACTCTCACCAGATTAACACAAGTTTGCAAAAGTCATGAATTCAGCAAGTAATCATCATCTATATATATATATATATATATATATATATATATATATATATATATATATATATATATATATATATATATATATATAATCAATTCTGACAAATGCGGAATAATTACCAGCAGCTATTCCGATCAATTACCAATGGTAAACTTGCACTCTAAGCAATTTTCGTAATGCACATCATATCTTCGACTTAATTATCTTCACAGTTCCCTTCCTTAGCCTTCGACTCAACTTTCCTTGTGAAGTAAAATGCAATGTCAAAATATCACGCAATCTCCTTGAAACATTTTAAATTCAGGCAACACCAAAATATTACGATAAGTGATACAATCATTTGCATATGGAAGTAAGATATCCTCCTCAGATCATTCATCTGATAATATATATAGATATAGATATACGGGGCTATTTAAATACTAGGGAAAATTACGGCCCACCCCCTAAGGTATGGCCAAATTACGAAAAAACCCCTCCTGTTTGGGTAATTACAGTCATCCCCTCCTTCTAAATATTTTTACATAAAATTTATGTAATTCGGTTATTTACCGAACCAAATTGTATATTCAGATCGGTAAACGGTATGAAATGTTGGCGTAGCGAAATTTCGGTTCGGTTTTACCAATTTAACATCCCTAAATTTACCTGAGCAGGGGTTTTTTCGTAAGATAATACATAGTTGAGGGGGTGGCTATAATTACCCAAACATGAGGGGGGGTTTCGTAATTTGACCATAACTCAGGGGTGGCCGTAATTTGCCCTAAATAATATAAAGTGCCGGAAAAACAGACATATATGCTAGGCTAAGTTTTCTCACCTTAATGAACCAGAGAGATTCTCTTTTGTACAGGCTTGTTGTCACAAAGTTTGAATAACACATTCTGGAACATTCCGAATAACATATGCATCTCGACATATTGCCACGTACTGCTATTTTAGCCAATCTCTCGGCAGAAAAATCTCCACATTATTTTATAGGAGAAGCTAAAAGATCCTCGTGCGAGGTTTCGCTAACTCCTTTCATACTCATCTCAGAACAGATGATTTCGGCCTCTTTTACTCGTCCTTCGTCCGTAAGTCCAGAAACAAGTTCATTACAAACAGCGACGCTCGGTAGAAAGCCGATTTTCAGCATCTCTCTGTACCACACGGAAGCCCCATCAAAGTCCTTCACCTTGCAATGCCCTTCAATTAACGTGTTAAAGGTTCCGTCGTTGGGGCCCACCTCTTTGGCAATCATGTCGTCAAAAAGATCCTTTGCTCCGTGCAAATTTCCCTCTTTTAAGCATCCCGTAATCAAGCTATTGTACGTCATCTTGTCGGGAAGAATCCCCACATTCGACATCTCACTACACAATACATTTGCTTTCTGAATGTCTCCATGCCATACAAAGCACTGAATAAGCTCGTTGTATACAACTCGATCTGGAGATAGGTTCAATCGAGACATATCTTCAAGAATTTTCTCTACAAGGTCGATTTTGTCCTTTTTGCATGCGCTTATGAGAGGATGATACGTGTTTAAGGTAGGCTTGATGCCTGAGGCTTTCATCTTCTCGTACAATTCTACACACTTCTCCACATTACCTAATCTCGAGAACCCAGAGATCAAGCAATTGTATGACCAAATCGCATATTCAGTTCGGTAAACGTTATGAAATGGTGGCGTACCAAAATTTCAGTTCGGTTTTACCAATTTAACATCCATAAATTTACCTCTAAGGGTTTTATTTATAATATAATACATAGTTAAGGGGCGGCTGTAATTACCCAAACAGGAGGGGGGTTTGATAATTTGACTATAACTCAGGGGGTGCCCGTAATTTTCCCTAAATAATATAAAGTGCAGGAAAAACAAACATATATGCTAGGCTAAGTTTTCTCAACTTAATGAACCAGAAAGATTCTCTTTTGTGCAGGCTTGAGCTTCTTGTTCTCACAAAGTTTGATGCAAGAATTCCTCGTTTGGCTTGCCTATTCCGGAACATTCCGAATAACATATGCGTCTCGACATATTGCCTATTTTAGCCATTCTCTCAGAAAAATCTCCACATTGTTTTAAAAATAAAAATAAAAAAGTCAACGCCAGAGACCGGCGGTTGACCGGTCAAAAATTTTTTTCAGAAAAAGAATTATTTTCCGAAAAAAAAATATTAAAATGGGGGTTAATGTGATATATTTGTTCAAATCTGGGATCAATTTGTAATATTGAAGAAGTTAGAGCATAATAGATGGAATTGATAAAAAATATATTATGGAGGGTATTTTAGACAAAAGACATGAGTATGGGTTTATTTGCAAGACTGTTCTTTGTCTGGACCTATGTGCATTTAAGTCCATTGTCATAGGCCTCTGTGCCATTTGCCCTAGATAAACATGGAACAATTGTTTATTCAATAAAATTTATTTTACATATTTTGAATATATTTTCGTATTTCTTGTTTTAGGTTACAAATATTTTCCTATTTTTTAATAATATTTCAATTTTAAACAAATGAAATGTAAAAAGTAGATATTAAATAAATCATTAATCGATTTTACTTCTTACTTTGGGATATTAGGGTAAGTTTTAATATATTATTTTTTCGTCAAAAGTAATAACGTAAGGGACAAGGCAACATACATCATGGGGATTTTGGTAACTAAGCAAATATAGGGGAATTTTCATAATTAAACCGTACTTCAGAGGTTTTCGTAATTTACCCTATTTTTTTAAATAACAAAAGGGTAAAACGAATAGAACCCATTGTCTGTGAATTTAAATGGCCAACCACTAGTCAAAGGGGGGTTTTGGTAACTAGATCTTACTAAGGGGGTTTTCTTAATTTTCTCTATAGTTTTTTTGCGATCACTTGATGAAGACTTGTGCAAAACCATATTTTGTTAATATTACTGAATAGTTCTTATAAATATGTGTTGAAACTATTTTCAATTTTAATCTAATTATGCAATTCCATGCGAAATTCTGAGTTAAAAGTTCAAGTTGTATTCAATTTGAAAATATAAGGGTTTAATCCCACTTTGCACCCCTAAAAAAATTAGTATTTTGGCACTTAATATCCATAAAAAAAGTTAATAGCACTTTGCACCCTCGAAACACAATAAATCAATATTATCTATTATTCTTATATCATGCGGAGAATAGTTTACCAGATCAATAACAAATCAAAGTATAATAATTTAATATATGCAAAAATATTTCAACCAATAGTACTCGCCAATTTAAAAATTCGAAAATTATAGCACTCTCTTTCAATTAATATTATTTTATAAATTAGTTGAATTTCCTATTATTTGTTTGGGTTCTTAAGATATAAGTCCCTGGTGACAAACCTTAATAGAACTAAATGACAAGTCTAACTAAAATTTGCTTCACATTCTTTATTAAATTCATTCAAAAAATGCCCCTCCACTCATAAATTCGAAATTACACCAAATTGTAAATATACTATGACGAACTATGGTATTATTTAACATTTTTAAGTTTGCATCTAGCATTTTTTTTTACGTGGAACACGTTTTTTTTTTTCCGTAATTTATCATTATATAAAAATCTATTTTTCCCCCTTCTTTTCTACATAAAGTGAAAATTATGATTTTTTTTTTTTAAATTTTTTGTTCGTAGACATCTTCAGAAACCCATAGGAAACAATAGTAATCCGTAGTCACCCATAGACATCTTCAAACCCTAAGACATCTTAAAACCCTAACTCCTCCTACAAACCCTAGCCGCCAGACCCA